TTCTTCTTCTTCTTCTTCTTCTTCTTCTTCCTCTTCTTCCTCTTCTTCTTCTTTTTGGCTTTTTGAAATAGGGTCTCTCTGTAGTCTCAGCTGGCCTGGAACTCACTATATAGACCACTCTGGCCTTACACTCATAGAGAGCCCCCTGGCCTCTACCTCCCAAGTGCTGGAACTACAGTCGTACACTACCACTCCTGGAATCACACTGGGCTTTCTCACTGCCGGGCCTTAAGTCCTCGCTCCCTTGCTCCCATTATTAATTGGGCAGATTTTCGATTATGAAACGAGAGGATGGTCTTGACCAATACAGTTGGCAGACGCCACATCTGGCCATGAAATGTGCCTAATTCATTGGTACAAAACACTTGTTGGAGGCCGGTGGTGGTGGCGGCGCGCATGCCCTTTTATCCCAGTACTGGAGAGGCAGAGGCAGATGGATCTCTGTGAGTTCGAGGCCAGCCTGGTCTACATAGTGAGTTCCAGGCCAGCTGGGGCTACAGGGAGACCCTGTCTCAAAAAGACGAAAACAAAAAACAATAAAAAAATACATGTTGAATTTCAACAACAAAAATTTACAATATCACAGGAATAAATTTGATATCAAGTACTTTTTGAACTAATGTCTTCCCCGTACTAGCTTAAATAAAAATGCAGTTTATTAAAAACCGGGTCTCACTCTGTAGCCCACGCTGTTTACGTACGCAGCCCTAAACTGGCCTCGAACTTGGGGCAATCCTCCTGCCTCAGCCTCTGGAGTGCTGATTAGAGTGAGCTAGGACGCCCGGCGAGCTTTAAAGATGAATGTCACCAGTTTCTATTATTTTGCTGCTTTGACAGCCACAGGACAACCCAAATCCGAGGTGCAGCCGTGCTCGGGGTGAGCTCTAACCCGCCCTTCGGTTTACAGACTGCCGGCACGGCAGGCACGTAATCCGCGGGCAGGACTTCCCCGCTGAGATAGGAGGGCCGGGCGAGCGGGCGGGACCGCGCAGGCCCCGGGGCGGTGGCTCGGGCGGAAGGGCCGGGACAGTGGGGAAGGGTCTCGGGCCGGGTCGGGCGTGGTGTCCGGAGGTCCGGCGCGGCCCGGGCTGAGGGCGCCGGCGCAGCTGCACGTCCGCAGGCGGG